TAACATTGCTGGCTTTTGAATAATAAAAGATCAACAAATTCAAACTTTTCCTAAGAATTTATAACGATTTCTTAGGTAAACCAATTGCCAAACACATGAAAGAGATGGTCTTACTATCCTTTTTTGACATCATATAGATAAATAAGTTTTAGCCTTAAATTTTGTCATGATTTATATAAAATTAATCGTGATAGTAATATAATAGAATAAAGAAACTTCATACATATTGCGTTTTCATTTGATACTATAGTTGAATTGAAGTTAACAAAATTCTCAAATTAAGGTGTTATTCAAGTTCCGTTGTGTCATGTTCAGCATATTATTTCTGGTTTGTGCCATTTTCCAATATCCAATGAACTAGAAATCTTGGAATTATGAGCCCTTTTTATTCAACTCAAACCATCACACATAGATCACTATAAACCAAAAATCTATTTGATCTAAATCCAAGCAAAAAAAATAAAAAATAATAATAATACATTAATATATCAAGAAATGAAAAAAAAAAAAAAAAAGAGCTAAGACATGCTATTCTTACATGCAATAATAGATAAATAGGTTTTTCACATCAAGATGGTTACGATTCATAATTTACATTACCATACTAAGTAGCCATTGGTTAATAAAGTTGATTGCCAAACTTATGTTGCATAAGATAAGATGGCCATTTCATCCACCTTTTCTCCCATAATACCTTGTATAACAAGGTACTACAGCTGATCATTGCATAAGCCTCTCATGCGACGTGTCATGCTGTCAGCAACAATTACTGACACGTGTCAATGGTTGTACAGCTCATAGTCAGGTCATAGGACCGATGTCAATGGTTGTATAGCTAGCTCAAAAGTTCTTATTGCCCATACCCACTTTATACTGTCTTTGGACAGATCATGTCGTTATATGATCATGATCATGATCATGAGAGAGAGAGAGAGAGAGAGGTATGCAAACGATAGAAGCAATAGAAGTGCAACAAAGTCTTTGCCTTCATTGTGGCATAGAAACTTACTATCCATGTATAATCTTTCTTGAAACAGATCACGGCCTTTTTGGTAATAAGAACAAGTGAGTCATAACCATTACACCATGTCCGCATTGCCGACACGATATAACGATTCAATAAAAAAAGAGAAAAAAAGATAAAATAGAACTCATTTCTTATCATGAAAGTGTTTATGAATGACATAATTGGGTGGTTATAAATTTTAGTGGGGTACATTTGTTAATTTGTTTACATATTAGTGGACAGTTATACCATATGACAATGTTGACGTAATGTAACAGCTGCACCCAATTTGTTTCCAAAAGCAGACACTTTTAAAAGTATTTTATTAATGTTAGTATAAAAAACGTTTATGGTTTACAGTTTAATGTTAGTTTGTTTTGATGTTTTATTGGAAGTTTAAGACCAACTTGCCGAGTAAATATTGTTTATAACGGTGACACTATATCATTATTGACACGTGGTATTATAATTTAATAACATTCCTACAAGTAGATAAATTGAACCTCACTTCTTTATATATGATGGTTATTTTCGTACATGTGTATGAGAGTTATTAAATTAAATGAGATCTATTTATTTACATATCGATTTATTATTGTTTGATTATATTCAATATCTAGATTTTGGATTTTCTATCTTGGAGCAAAATGATAGCACCAAGGTTCTGAAAACGACCCATTGTGATAACGGGGTTGACTATAATCCATCCCAAAAACTTGAGAGTGATCTTAGTTTTTCAAAATTCATTGAATCGTAACTTGATTCATCATGACTGTAGATTAGGCATCTAATGTATCATGTGGTTATGTCAACCAAGCAAATAAGGGATAAATACCTATTTGCGTGAGTTACTAGCCATTTGTCACCCTTGAATTTGATCATATGCAATGAATTTAACATTGTGCTGACTTTTTACCACCCCCGTGGGGAAATAAAAACACATGGCATGATGCAAGCACATGTAGGTCATGGTTTAAAAGTACAGGCCGAAACGACTCTATCGAGTTGTATTAGATTTGACACCTTCCACCTTCCACCTTCCATGCTAATAACTAAAAATAATTCACACATTTTTATTTAATACACTCTTCTCAGTAAATTAAACCATAATTAAATGCAATTGGTAAATTGTCCTAAACCAAATGAGTGATTTCAGCCTTTTTCAAATAACCAATTTCTTAACAAGATAGGTGATGATCTCAAAAAAGTTTTGAAACAAAATGAAGGGTGATTGTTCACGAAATCTTTGATATACATTGAAAAACATTATCGAAATATTGGATATAAAATTAATTATAAATGATTTTTAGAATTTAAAAGAACATCATGCTATTTTTCATATATTATTTTAGTCTTAAATCTTAATATATTTTTCATGCTTAAACTTGGGTGGTGTATTTTTATTCATGTTTTTAAAAAATTGGGAACAAAAAGTCAGAATTTATAACATGTTTTCGTTAGTTTTGATATAGTTTTGAAAAAAAATTAAAAACATGATATTCAAATTATGCACTTAAAGACATCATTTTAAAAAAAAAAAATCCTTTCTTCTCATCTGTGTCTTTCAGTCCGCTTCCAAGCAAAGCCCAATCGGTTCCTTCAAACCCTTTTTTTTTTAATATTTTACTTTTTTGGGGGAGAGAGGAGGGGAAAAAAGAGTTTGAATCCTTGACTTCAAGGAAACAAAAATGAGTACTATTGGATCAAAGACCTATTGATCCTTCAAACCCTCTAGTATCATTCAAAGCTCTAGTTCTTCAAATGGCACGAGCTGATGACAAGAGGCCTGATCGGCTTTCTAACAAACTACTAAAGAATATTTTTTTCCACGTATTTTGTATTTTCTCGTAAATTGATTTTACATATTTTCTTGAGGTTGACCTTATCCTCAGATCTGACTCTATGCAAATTAGAAATTTGGGATTCATGTTGTTGGTTTTGCTTTGCCATTTTTCACAGTGAGGAAAATGATGACATCTTTATTGCATGTTGAATTTTTTAAGTTAGTTTTTAGCTTGCTGAGTTTGTCCCATTGACATTCTCCTTTATCCTTGGGTTTTTTTTTGGTTGGAAAACTTCATTTAATTTCTAGTATAAAGTAATGCACTACTGAGAGTTCAGTGATTAAATCTTGTTTGTCCACATGTGTTGAGAAAAAAAACCATGGTAACATACCCCACCGCCCGACTTCACCCTCATGCGCTTTTTCAGAAGATTTTTATCAAAGGGTCGAGTCAAATTACATCTCATATTTTTATTATTTTTTGAATCACTATCGAAAAATGTTTTACTATTTTTTATTTTTTAAAACTATTTTTGGAATCACATAAGAAAACATGTTTTGAGATACAAAAATATTAAAATACAATTTTCTAAAACTCTTCTCAAAAACATGTTTTTGAATATTATTTTTTAAGAAGATATCCAAACAAACTCTTAATTTTTGCTTTGTAAGAATATTCCTTCTGAGCAAGGTCGGTTGAAATCATGAGGAGCTTTCTTAAGGGGTCGTTTGTTTGTTGTATAAAGGGTTTATATACTGCATTTAAATATAAAAAATCACTTCGTATTATATATGAGATTAACTAGATAAGTATCTTATATGGATAATTCTAATACAGTCTATCCGTATTATTGTGTTATTTTAATACTATTAGGAGAGATGATATTATAATACAACCTAGGTGTATTATATTGTTATTTTATAATTTTATCCCCAATTTTAAAAAAAATTATGTGTTCTTTTCTTCTTATTTATTTTAATAAAAATTACATAGACGACAACATTAATAATAAAGAAATGATCAATAAAGCTACATATATCTAATTTTTCGATCAATAAAGTTATCATTACCTCTCTCCTCTCACTCTTCTTAGTGTAAAAATTCGTTGCCTATATATATTAAAAAAAATAAACATGCTAGTCAATTGATTGATTTATTTATTTTTTTAATGCTAGAACTTTGATTTTCTTCCATTCCCGCATAAAAACAAATCTTCCATTCAATCAAAAAGCTTATTTTGTGGAGTTTGTAACGGAAACTCTCTCTCCCACTTACTTGAATTGCTAAAATTGTTTTTCCCTTTTCTTCATGCTTGATGGGTCGGTCATTCATGTTCCGGAGATTTCTCCATTGATTGGTATAATACTCATATGATTACTCTTTCGTTATTAATATCCTTATTACATTCTTTATGTAGATCAAATGACAAAGCAAACACTGTCTAGAGCATATTTATTACCAGATGATGATTTCATGCATGCCTGTATATATAGAAAAAAAAAAAAATTTCAAAGAGTTATTCAAATCACGTAGCAATGAAAAGTGGTGTCCACATTCAATGAAAACTTACCACACATTCTGATAAAGTAATAGATGACAGTTTTTCTATTGAAAATTTATAATATTCTGCAAGTGATGAACACCACATGACCGCAAATCCATGGAGTAGTTCAGTGGTAATACCGGAAATTTCGAATCTTGTCAATTCTTTTGGGTTAGACTATTAGAGATTTATCCTTTATGAATACGTTAGTCCCACGTAAATGACTTGTTTTTGACAAAATCAAAGAGGGGACTAAAAAAAAAAGATCAAAAAAGGGACTAGTTGAGCTCTGTGCAAGTTTACCTAGACACCACCGATCATTAAACCACAAAAAAGAACCCCATGTCATGTGATGTGTTATATGGGCTGAAAAATTTTGTCGTGTATATGCACATATATTCATTTTCGTTATTGGAATTCAGCATTGAGCAAAAAGTCTGCACACACCTAAGATATCCTTTCGTTTAAGTTTCTCGCATCGCACTCTATGCCCAAGAGTCGTAAAAAACAGCACCCAACATCCTCTCTCTCTCTCCCCTCCCCTATAAATATACAAGTTCGTCATATAACTTTGCAATCAGTGCCATAGCTCTTAGATTCTTATAATCCTACAAACCCTCCATACTTTTGGAATACTCTTTTCTCTCTCCTACAAAAGAAGCAAATAATGGCCATACAAAGGCATATCTTCCAAATCAACATCATCTTCATCCTCTCTTTTATTTCATCCTACGCCAGCCTTCATGATGGCCCACCTTATAATAAATACCTTCAACAAGAATCTGGCTATGACTTTGAAGCTTACCCTTCATATTACAGCACCATTGAAGACACCAAGTTTAAGAACTCGGCCAAGCTCCAAACTAGAATCTATGGTTTCAAGACGTTTCAGAGACTCGCAGCTTCCGCTAACACAATCAATGTAGATGATTTTGGAGCCAAAGGTGATGGTACTCATGATGACACACAGGTAATCACTTGGTTCAAAAAATGATCTCAATGGGCAGGTGCCCTAGTGTAAATCAATGCACTTACATGGAGGTCCTTTTAGGTTAATTCCAATGTTTATTACTCAATTGTTTTGGCAATTATGTAGTTTATGACTAGCGGTTGTCTCGTGCAATTCATAGAATTTATACCTTTTTCCACCGCGAGTCTCACCCCACCCCTCCCCTACCCTCACATTTTTTAACAATTAGTCACTAATGTGCTAAATTAATTTTAAAAAAAATAAATGTGAGAGAGCAGTTACCAAATATAATGAGAATGGTTACATAGGACACATGTAAGAATTTAATTGGAGAGATCAACACATTTTTATTAAATAATTTAAAATTAAGAGGAATTAATCTTTAGCAAGGGAATGCTTTTGAAGCCCTCGCATCTTAAAAATGATTGTTTTATATAAATAAAAATTGTATTGTTTCAGGCATTTCAGAAGGCTTGGCAAAAAGCTTGTTCATCAACAGGAGCTGCATTTGTGGTGCCGCAGAAAAAGAACTATCTTCTTAAGCCAATTAGATTCTCTGGCCCTTGCAAATCTAAGCTTACTATGCAGGTCAGATCAGTTGCATATATAAATGACTCCAACAAAGAAGGCAATCTTCAAAGAATTATTTCTTACAATAAAGTTTTTTTTTTTTGAAAAAAATCAGATTTATGGAACCATTAAAGCATCTAGTGATCGATCAGACTACAACACACAAGGCAATCACTGGCTTATATTTGATAGTGTCCAGAATCTAATAGTTCAAGGAGGTGGAATTATCAATGGCAATGGGAAGATATGGTGGCAAAATTCCTGCAAAATCAATAAAGCTCTTGTAAGTCATTATTGAATCCAAAAAATTATTTCAATACTCTCTCTTTCTTTCTTTCTTTTATGGTGAAGCGACAAGGTGATTCTATTATAACCTAGCTACTTGGGATTTGAGTCATGAGAAGAGCTTTATAATGTGGCTGAGTAAAACTCAACACTTTCCAGGATCATAATGGCAAGAGTCTCGTGCATTAAGCTATTGTTTTTTATTTTTTTAATAAACAATGACTAATTAATTTATTTTGCTTCATTGGTATGCAGCCATGCAAGGATGCACCAACGGTATGTTTGTTTCTTTATATTAGTGGATGATGCTATGTTGATATTCATATAATGTATGACCAATGGAGTTTCTTTTTTTTTTTTTTTCCCTCTAAATTTCAACCCTTTTTTTGTGATAGGCTTTAACCTTCTATAATGGCAACAATTTGATTGTGAAGAACCTAAAGATCCAAGATGCACAACAAATTCATGTTTCTTTTGAGAAATGTGTGAATGTCCAAGCTTCCAATCTAGAGGTGATCGCACCTGAGATGAGCCCCAACACTGATGGAATTCATGTCACAGACACCCAAAATATCCAGATTTCTAACTGTGTTATAGGAACAGGTATATCTCTTTAAAACATGGAAAAACGCACACAAAAGAATAAAAACTAAAACGACATAAAACACATATGTTATAGAGTATTATCGCATCTTGCCTTATTTGATACTTTGTTAAACAACGCTAACGCAAAATATTTGTTGATCCTAACAATAAAATTTCATTTATATGTTGAAGGGGATGATTGTATTTCAATTGTGGGGGATCCCAAAAAGTGCAGGCTACGGGTATAACTTGCGGACCAGGTCATGGAATCAGGTTCCGAATTAAAAAATCTCTAACAATAAACACATTCCAATTTCAGTGAAATTTTGTTTGCATTGTGCATTGAAATATTTTGTTGTTCTTTTGCATTTTGATGATGAGCTCAGTATCGGAAGCTTAGGATCCGGAAATTCAAAAGAGTCTGTTTCTGATGTAACGGTGAACGGAGCTACGCTTTATGGAACAACAAACGGAGTAAGGATCAAGACATGGCCGGTAAGAGAGAATCTTGTACAATGATGCATGCGCATGCACAAATGCGGACAAACATATATGTACATACACACACGTAATGCTAGACTGAAAAAAAATGAGACAAAAAAATGGGGATGAAATGATGTGGTGTGACAAATTGTGGTGTGAAAGTATTCCCTCATTAATTTATTTTTCTTACTTTTGTTTTATTAAATTAAAAAACAAAATTTTCTTCAAATTAAATTCTTCCACTTTGCACGTATAATCACTCCCCCAAACTCCCCACTCATTTTTCAAATTTCTCTCCTCTTCTATATTATCTTTCCATCTTGCTCTCCTCTTTTCTAAATTTATCAGGCAAGTTTAATAAGGAGACAGAGAGAGATTGAGAGAGAGAGAATGGAGATGCTAGAACAGGGTGATAGATGTAAATCCCGTGCATGCATATTTTTTTTTCATTATATTAATCATATGTACATCCCATCTTACATGCAGGGTGGGTCTGGAAGTGCAAGCAACATAAAATTTCAGAACATTAATATGCACGATGTTATGAACCCTATAATCATAGACCAAAACTATTGTGATCAAGCCAAATCTTGTACACAAAAGGTAAAGTTGTAAAAGCATAACCTTTGAAATCTCCAAAAAATTATAAACCCAATATTTTATTGATATAATTATATCTTCTTACTCTGTCACAGAGCTCAGCTGTTCAAGTGAAAAATGTGGTTTACCAGAACATTAAAGGAACAAGTGCTTCTGATGTGGCTATGACATTTGACTGCAGTAAGAGCTTTCCTTGTCAAGGGATTGCGGTGCAGAACATCAACATAGCAAAAGCTGGAGGTGGAGCAGCAAAAGCTCTATGCAACAATGTCAATTTGCAGAAAATAGGAACTATTTTGCCACATTGCCCTTGAGGAGGAAGAGAATACAACTATAAGGTTGGTTAGACCATCTAGTTCATCATATTATTGTTGATCTCCAGTGTTTAATCTAGACTGAAATATGTTTTTTCGAGAATAACAAATTATACCAATCATTTACCTTTTAGACTCATGGCTGCAATGTTAATTTTGGATGCATGCAACTACCAATTAAATCCGAGTTTTATGTAAACTATAAAATTCAAACTCAAATTGTACGAGTTTATCTGTGGCTCGCTTGACCAATGAACGTACCCAAACAATCATATTGACAATCAAAAATTATTTATTTTGGCACAATCAATTGTAATTTCCTGGCTATTACAATTTGCAAATATGCAAATATATTCAGAATGATGTTTATATATGATTAATCAAGTTCTTTCTTTCTACGTTTTTGTTTCAGGTTTCTTCAAAATATTGCAGCCGCATGCATGATTCAGTGGGTTTTTCATGGATTATTTCAAGTGGATGGAAAGATTGTTGTATAAATTACTGAAAATATTTGAATGAGTTGTTATTTATTAATTAGAGAACAATAAAGATTGTCTGTAAAATGTTTTCTCATGAATAAAATTACATCCATTATGGTACAATTGCGTTTGATTTTTTTTTTCTTAAATGTTTTGTTTGGAGGGGGCAAAAGCAAAAAAGTCACTTTAGTTGGGTATTCAGATAGTAAAAAATAAATTAAAAAAATAATAATTTGTGTCCATATTTCAATTGTGTATTGTTTGATAATGGTCTTTAAGTAATTTTACAAGATAAAATTAAAAAAATTAAAAAAAAAACATAAAAGTGTTATCAATAATACCTCACTTTTTCAAGATATACCAATGCATACTGATACTTTCGAGAATTTATAGACCTAATAACGTGATGGTTGACGTGTTCCAATAATATTATTGTAACTGCATTGTTGGATTTATCTGTTAGAATAATATCACTTGCCTTATTATTGCATCAAATATTTAGAACGAAAAGTATCGTTGAAAAAACCAATATGTAGGATTTGGGCCTTCTTTTGGCCCATCTCATCCTAAAAATTAATTCATCATCAATAAGTGGAAAAAATATTCATTGTAACGGTGATATTATGTCATTATTTTCATTTGATATTATCAACTAATAATATGCAAACTAATAAAATTGGACCCGCCACTAGCCAATAATTATCAGTTCATGTAAGCATATAACTGCCCACTTTTCCATTAAGTAGATAACTATCTACTATTCTTCCATGTAAGTTAATAACTATCCAAGTGTTGTTCACATGGTATCACTGTTGAATAGATGGTAAGTAAGAGATTACTTATATACAATGTGTCTCACTTGAATAGATGACAAGCGAATCACCAAAAAAGAAAATTGACAAAAAACATTTGAGGGAACCTCATTCCTGAGAAAAACAACTACAGATGATATTTTTAATTATCATACTTAAAAAAAAAATTATTATTGACTGTCAAGTTATACCTTACAAAGTACAAGTGAAACTTATTTGTGATAGATTACAATATGTTATGATCGATCACGAATAGCCTTAATCAATCGTAACTTAACCTTCAAAAGATGAATTTTTCGTGATCAATCACCATACTTTAATATAGATGATAATTTTTTGAGTTGAAATTCAGGCCGTCAAAAAATATAATTTAACCTTTAAATATTATAATTTCCGACATGGTACCAAAGTGGATAGCTTAATGGAGCTCTTAAGGTAGACCCACAAATCTCAACTCTTAATTCCAGAAAGTTCATTACAACTATTAATTATTAGACATGGGCCAAGTTTTGGCCACATGAAGGTGTGTCAAATTAATATCCCGTGACATTTGTAACATCTAGTAAAAAGACCCCTTCGCCTAACGAACTTTAGAGGTTCCAACAAAAAAATTACGACTAATCAACCACCAAAAATTCTATTTGGAAAAATATCACTTAACTGGACGAGAATGATCTGAAAGATAATATTGTGCCCAAAATTAGTGAATTAAAGCGATAAGTAAGTGCTAGTGAATTAAGGTAAGTTTAAGAGCTCACAATAATTGTAACGATGGATAAATAAACTTAGGAGAAAGAATGTCGACAACTTGAGTGGAGTGATAACGGTTTGCATATAAGATCTATTTCGGGACAAGTTGGGGACAGAGATAAAAATCTTGAATATGGAAAATTATATTCTACTTTTGGATTTGATGCTTGGATTTGAAACCTTTGAATTTGAAAGATAGAGAAACCTTGAGATAGGCGTTCAACCCTTGTAAAGGTCCGGATGGGTGAGATGACAATTTTAGTGTTTCAGATATTTTACCATTTAAGAAACCAAGAATGGTTGTTGATTGAGGTATTGAAGATTCAAAATTGATCTAAAGTGTTTCAAGATCATTTAATATGACACTGGAAGTTGAAAAAAATAAGTTAAGATGTGTTACGTGAATTAAGATGTTTTGGAAAAAAAATAGTGTAGAAAGGAATTTGACACTACGTTCAATTGCGTTGATTCTTGGGGCATTGAAAATAAGACTTCAAACACTACATAAGTGTGTTTCATGAGAATTTCATGAATTGACCTCTAATTAGACCAAAGTTTTGGTAGAAAGTTGGGTCCTTCTGAATGAAAATCTTCCATCTGAATAGAAAATAAAAAGGTGAGATACTGAGAGCTGGAGCCATTCAAATGGAGATTTTCCGTCTGAATGTAAACATGACTTTTCAACTCTAAGGAGCTTATGAGAGTCTTTGAAAGAAGAAAAGGGGAAAAATAGTAGATCGAATTAGATCTTGACGAGATTTACACATTAGCATTACACAAAACACTTTAGGAGCAATTTTCTATGAAATCAAGGTAGTGTTTCTTTTTCCTTTCCTATTTATTGAGGCTATGGATAATATCTATATACTATTTGAATTCTAATTCGCACACACACGCACATAAAATAGATCTGCAACTATTTTGAATTTCTTTCAATTATATCATTCATTTTCTTCGAATTATGTTGTTGATTTATAAACCCTAGATCTTGAATAATATTACATTGATAATGCTTCGTGAAGATCTTGTGCATGGTTTTATTGAAATTTCCTACATTTGGAGAGTTGGGGAATTATAATTTGTGATTCACGTGGATTTTATTGAAAAACATAATTTAAATTACTTATATGGGTGGGTGTGATGAACATGAATATAATCGAACTTATATCACTGAGTATCGAACTTATACACGTGGATTTTAATGAGTTTGAAGGTTTTTCTATCACTTATAGTGGGTATTGGTTCCTTGCTAAGTTTCAAACTATTTTTCATCGACGGAGACCGAGGCTTAGGGTTAGTAAACTATTCATAAAAATATTTCGTTAAATATTGATGCATCGATATACGTGTTTTCTCTAAAGGTTTATCCCTGCGGGGATTGGTTGGAGGATTTTTGTATGTCGGGGCTAGATATATTCGAGGTGTGAATTCTTGCTAATCAAGCTACGTACATAAAATATTTATGTTATAAGTTGTTTTCCAAATGGTTCTACGCTGTTACGGATTTACATGTTTATGCAATGTAAATTTGAGATAGCTATAATGTCACATTTTTTTGGGGTAAGTATAATGTCACTTATTTTACTTCAATAGTTATATATGTTATTTTTAAATTGAGGTATCCTTGTTTTATTTGTTTATAAATATTGTTTAGGTTAGAGAAAGTTTCTCTATTGAGCTAGGTTGTTCACCCCTTCTTTTAATATTTTTTAGATTTTGCTCTTGAGATTGATACTAGCATAGGTGAGCAGGTAGATTGGATTGTTGAAAAGGATCAGAAAGTGGATCCGAAAATTGAGGTCTAGTGTTGGGGGCTTTGATTTATATAAATTTTGTTTTTATGATTGGAGAAGGGATACCGATTATTTGCATTTATTTAGTTAATTATGAGATTTTGTTCTTTATTTGAGGTTTTGGATGCAAACCTGAGATTCAATTTTATCATTTGAGGACTTCTAGCCAGATGATATTGGATATTTGTGATTTTTGATTTATTAGGTGGTTTATTTAGTTATACTCTAATGATCTTAAAGGTTTAGATCACATTTATTTATGAATTTGGGGCGTGACAATATGTGTGTGTGATGGTGTATTTCAACGTGATGCAATTTTGTGATGACGAGTAAATGAAAGAAACAATATTATAATTATTGGGATCTGAGCTACTAGACTCGAGGAAATGATACTGAGAATTGTTGGGGAGTTGAGGAATTAACACAGTAAAATTATAGTAGTTCACTAGCTCGGGAGCTCGGCTAATTCACTATTCAATGGAGATTCTTGCTCCTTCCTTCACTATTTACTATACCAAAAAGTTTACAGAATATAAGATGTGATACTAGGGTTCTGCCTCTCTGTTGGGGGCGTTACATAGTATTTATAGGACTTTTCCTAATTCTACGGGATCCGCCCCGAGATCTTCGTCATTTATCCGAGGAATCCTCCTTGATCTTAGAAGGAGATCTTTCCTGAATGAAAGTTTTATGCCTCGATTATGACTCTTTGCTGCCTCTAGGGTTTCTGTTGACAAATAACTATCTCTTTATTACTTCTGCTGTTGCTTCGATTGGGCTGGGCTTTACTTTGGTTTTATGAGCTATGTGCGTCTGACTTCCGCTCCTAAGCTCATACTTGGGAATTGCTCTAAGTATCATCAGTTGCCCCCCCCCCCCAACTCTTGGTCAAGCTGACTTGGGCAAGGGCTGAGCTTAAGATGTAACAGAATGGTTTCCCAATCAACGACTTCGAAGTTTGCAAGGGAATTTTTTTTTTTTTGCATGTAGGTGCTCCTGACCTGAACCTGCTTGAATTGATGAGGGTGGAACAAATGACCCAAGCTGAACTCATGTCTTTTCCTGATCTCATAACTCCAGATAATCTGTTCTTGTTTAGCGCCACTGCAGCTGAACGGGACTTTCTCTTTTTTCCTAAATCTGATCTCTCTTCTACCAGGTCTGAT